ATGCTACATACGCTGTCTTCAAATCTAGAAAAAAAAATTTAAATCGAAAAATGCCCTTTCTAGAAGTATAAGCTTTGAAGCAGGAGTAATTTTCTACCAAACCAGTACAAGAAAGCCGATTTTTTGCACTTTTTATAAAATATACTTAAATTTATAAGGATATGAGAAAAATTCACACGAATTAAGTATTCATTTTTTACACAGTATAAATTTTGCAGGCGATCAGAAATATGCTAGTTCAAAAGTCGCTAACCTGGCGTGACTTAACTATGCTGGTATTAGACTGCACATTAATCAGTATTACAACCTCCTACTTAAGTAACCTGTTCGAATCGGAAACACATTTAAGAATTTTGGTTGACTCCTCATGCGGTAGGAAATCCACTGTAGCTCCGCTGCAAAGCTGTTGCCAGCACAGTGACTTTACTTTCTCCTTACTTGTGCCAGTTCGACTCTGAGATACGAGTTACGCGCTGCCTCCTTTTCCGACAGGGTCTAGATGGCATTGTGTGGACTGTTCCATTCCCCTAACGGTCCCATCCCCCATCGCCGCCCGCCGCGATAGTCCCTCTCTTGCGTATAGGTTCCCCTTGACACCTAGCTTCTGTGAAGCAGTGATTGCTATCCCTATCTGGTCGATTTGTCTCAGATGCGAATAGTCACTTTTTTGACTTGGGAGGTCATCTATCCCGCCTTATTTTCGCACTTCTAACTTGTTTTCTGTTTCTCCTCGTGAGTTACAAGCCGACAAAGGTTTTGTTAGCACACGCACACGACAGATGGAAATAAATCGCATTCATCTTTTTTTCTTCTGAAACCCTGTTGCAATTCAGCTCCAACCTCCATGCTGTCGTTTTTGCTCAGTTAGGCCTTACGGCGGGGATGGGGATTGGGAAAAAAACAGCACCATACTTAGGCGGTGTTCGCGGTGTCCTGTATTTATTCTTATGCAAACTGTGACAATCGCGTCAGCCATCGCCTCTACCGCGCCCCTGTGGCCATAGTGTACGCGGCCTGTTAACGTTCCCCGTCATGCTGACCCTCAGTGGGCTCTTGAGGACCGTTGCGGGATCATCTATTTGCGTCGCCTTGTCGCCAATCAGCATGAGCGTATCATCGTCGCATCTCCGGCACTTCGGTGGTGACCTCTTGAGCTCTGCGGTACCCTCCTAGTTACGATCCTTAGTATACTAATGATGACCATGATCGGTTCCCCCATATTGCCTCACACCGTCTCAGCAACAGAATGTTCCTATCTCGCGTACATTTTCCTCCCATAAACGAAAGTTTTTGTTTCCTTCGAATCCCTCAAATCGCAATCAAACTTTTCTGGTTTCCGAAAAATGACCAAGGAGTTTTTTCACTTTCTGTTCTGTTTGCTTTTGTTCCACCTACGGGCTCATGTTATTTGGCATTGATAATAAGCCGAGGTACTAGTCCCGAAGTATTAAATACTATTGCAATAATAATTATCGTAATAAGTGACTAGCTGTGTAGGTTTACCCTCTTCGACTAACCAACAGCTGCTCGCTTTTCGCCTGCAATTATGCTGGCGATCTCTTTTTTTGAATTTTTGCTGTGCAGATGCATTTCTTAGCCGTTGACCCATTAATAATACTATAATAATAAAAATAGATTGAAACAAATGATAACAGCAGTGCCCCAACACTTTTGGCGTCAGAAAGACAATTGAGTACAGATTTCTCATAAATAATAGCGTATTTTTCAATACCTAACTTACTACTTATCTTGCTGTAGTTTATTATATAGTTTGTTTATTAGTTTATGGCCTCGTCTATTATTTTGAGTTTATCAAAAGATAAATCGGCGAGCATACGTTTGCTTTCGATAAGTAATCTTCAGGTCTGTACATTTATATGGTAATTAAATGAATAAACTATGCTGTTTTGGTGGAAAGACGTGGTCCTGTTGTTGTTTTCAGGATCGATGGGGAAGTGGTGGGGAGAATTGAGGTCAAAATGTCAATTTTTAGGCGGACCGGCGGCCAAAATAGGTGATAATCACAAGAAAAAGAAGAAGAAGAAGCGATCGCTGGAACAAGAGTTTTATTGTTCTGATATTTCGGATTCCGTCAGGATTCCGTCCGACAGAATCCGAAACGTCAGGACAATAAAACTCTTGTTCCAGTGATCGCCTCTTCTTCTTCTGAACTACTTCCTGGAACTCGCATATTCAATTCTATTGGCAATAGGTGATAATGTGCGCGCGGTTGAAATGGGATTTTTTCCGTCTCTGGAGGGACACGTTTCCGAGGCCGGTGATAAGCCGGGTGCGGTTATGTTAGCGACTTTTGTCCATGGTAACTACAGGGCTGTTACAAACCCTAGGCCTGAAAATAATGTATAGAAAGCTCGCCAACTTGTCTTTTGCTATTTACAATGGGAATTGTCGCAAAAGTTTGAGCTCAGTTTATTTTCTTTTTTAGTTTATTTAGTCTTCTTTAGTTAGTTAAGTTACGCTCTAATATACCTTAGTTTTAATGTGGTTTTGGGTTTGTTTTTCGTTTAGTTAGTTTAGTTTAATTTGTTTTTTATGAGTTCTTTTATTATTTTTTGTTTTTATTTACCCTACCCTACCCTTATTACCACTGGTTCCACATTATACAAACGTGAGGATGTTGTGACTGTGGTGTTGTTTATAAAGAATCCTACTTGACAATTCAATTTTTTCTAATTTAAAAAGTAAGTAATACAGTGCAATAGAAGAAAGTCAAGCACGAATTGCTAGCCATCAGAGCTTTAGAAAAATTAAACGTTAATCAGATAGATTGGAAGATGTCTACTGAGGCACTAGAAACCCAAATAGTCGGCAGTGATCCCTAAGACTGCACATTAAAGATTACTAGGAGATGCATAACGTCAAGAAGAAGGTATTAAAGAATTTCACAAGTTAGGATGACTTGGGAAATTACCAAGTCTGAACACATTGAGAACAGCTTTGTATTGCAGGCACCCATCTCATTGAAAGCAAGAGAATAAGAACCAGAGGAGTTACCTGAGGATCAGGGAGGTGACGGCTGCGGCGACTGACGTGATTTGCAGTGCGACAACTAAAAGGCAATAATAAGTACGCACCGCGGCGTCAGCACGCCAGGTGAATCGTGCAATGGGTGATGAGGATGCTTCATGAG